CATTTGGGACTGAACCAGCTGATATTAACTTGCACTGACAAGGGGCAGATTTGCTTTCTAATTACTGAGAGAGTTCAGCTGGTGTCTTGGCTTTCCATACCTTTTTACACCTCCCTTTCTTCACGTGTTCAATACTTTTCCCCTGTGCCATTCCACATTATTACAAATAACTTCATTTCTGGACATTTATGATTTGATTTCATTTTATATATGGATCACTTGGGTTGTTACCGACATCTGTTGAAAATTTCATGTCATTAGCACCTCTAGTAATATATTTACTGAGAAAAATGGTGACTTGTTCAATACTTATTTTACCCGCTGTATATGCTACCGCTATGCAGTATCTAGTTTAATTAAATGAAACATGTTCATTAGGGGTAATTCCACTAATATGTTTCAAAATCAAAGCTGTAAAGCTGTGTGAACTCAATGTCTAATAGTTCCATTAGACAAAAAAAAGTGTTTCCACTTTTTTAGTATTTTGATTTATTCATTCATTTCTGGCTTGACTTTGTATTCATGCGGCTCTTAAATTCGTACTTGTATTTCGCGKTTTGTTTTGTCATGTCTAAACACTTCTCTATTAATGAATGTTTGGAAAACGGCAATCAATTTAAGGAATAACTTGGCAGAGAACTGGATAAATCATTTGTTCATCAAAAGCTAGTTTTCAGCAGGCATTTCCTAGAAAGTTGTTTGATAATTACGCAACTGACAAAGTTAGCAGAGAAGTGAAATTCCTTCATTGTGGTTATAGCGGCCACTTTTATTGCGGGGATTGAAAGTCTTATGTTACGGCAGCATTTATGCCAGTTATTTAAAAGAAGACATTGATGTCTTTGAACCACTTAACCATTGTGCCTTGGTTGTAAATGAAAAGGTTGAAACATGAATGCATAAATTCTTCAAGCATTCTAGTTTTAAGTTTTTGCAAAAAATGTTAMTGCTTACAATGCTGTGTCTATGGTTTCAGGGATACTTTGAAYAGAAGACTTAAATATTATTTCTGAAACTATTTATTAAACTGTGACTCAAAGAATGAGACTCAAATACAAGTGACTGAAAAGAGCTTTCATCGAATAACCTCAAGAAGTTTCATCTGCTGTTTTTTTCACCTCTCATCTAAAAGGCTTGGAGCTAGTTCCATTATGTAAGTGCCAGAGGATGAATGGATGGATAGATGAAATAATTAGCTACGTTTTCTGTGTTTTTCAGCTGATGGCGGTGTATGAGGAACAGGAAGCCCAGCAGAGGAGTGTTGTTGACACCAGCCTAAACCCCTGCCCTGACCTCCACCAAGYTGAGCTCTCCGTTTTTCAGCCAATCACAGGAGGGGTGATTGAAGTCACTTCCTCAGCCCTCAAGTCTAGTAAGTATTGAATTTTTTGCTTCCAGTATTTGCTGTAAAACTAYGCCAGCTCCTTTAGCATTACCTTTGCTTTTTGTTGTCTTGCTGATTAAAACCTTCAGTTTTGTCTCGACTGTGTTGTGATACTTTTTCAGGATTTAACCAAAAATAAATATTCTCTTAATTTAGAACAATCTGTTGGCTTGTTTAATCATGATGTTGCAGACTCTGTATTATTTTTTTATCAGAGATATTCTGAAACATATGACCTCAGTGGAATTGTTTGACCTCTTAAAATAAATTACAACTCTATATGTTAATGGATGATGTTTTATAGTGCATATTTGTACAGATTTTCACATTTGATCCTTCTTAGATTTTGTAGAAAATTATTTGAACATGTTAAACACCACTTGGAATCCAACCAAATAAATAATTAATAAAAAAGTGGGGTGAATATTTTTACAAGACAGTCAGTGTAATTCTAGATATATATTTTTTGTAAACAGGAGACATATTGTTAACTTTGAATTCCAGTGCAGACAAAGGTCAGGATGTGATGGGTGGAGCAGTAATAAAAGCAAGATGGCAAAGGCCAAAATGTTGGAAGCGCTGTCACTGAAATGTGGTTGGAAAAAAGAGTCAGAAGAGGAGAAGAAGACAGGATGTGCATGTGTTCTGTCAGGCTGCAAGACCAAAAACTGATGTTTGTGTCTGCTTAGTGTTACCTGGACAAAACCTTTCTGCGTGACCTTTATTCTCTCTGTGCATCTGTCTTTGCACTGCATACTTTTTTCAAATTGTTTTGAAAATGTTGTCTCCYCTTCCCATTTCTCTGTCTTATTTCAAGTCAAGTGCTTGTTCAGTTGAATTACAGTACATGTAATTGCGTGAGGCCCTAAAGTGCCCAGCACTACTTTTTTATCCACTTTGGATTAGATTGACTTTCACTCTTTAACTATACCACAATAAACAAGAAAAAAACAAACAAATCTTTTTTTTTCAACCAGCAAATCAGCATTTCAACTTTTAAGATACAACCTTCCTAAATCATGGAAAAAGCTTTGGTGCTGATCCAGACTCTGTTATGATGGGAAGTTTAGTCTGTTTCAGTATTGTTGCCTGCCAGAGCAGATTAGTGGGAATGAAGTAACAGCTCTGGAGACAATCACACTGTCAGTGTGAGGAGGCCAGAGTTAGGCTTCTGTAACTGTCTACAGTTTTGACACAAACATTGGAGTGGATACAAAGTCTAAAATAGGCAAACAGGATTTAGAGAAACTGCTTAGCATGATCAAAGAAGAAGCTACAGTAAACCAGCCAATGAAATGTGATGATCTTTGTCACCAACACATAATAAAAGCATTTGCAGACTGTGAAATATCTTTGCCTAAAATATTASGGGCTGTGCAAAGAAACTGATATTTCGATATTTTTAAAAATGGCATGGTATCGAGCCCTGTGAAATATTAGCATTAAATGTTGACGTCAACTTATCAGGGGTGCACTGAATGTACTTTTCTGGCCATTCACCGATCTTTAAAAAGTCTGATCTGCCGGTTCTGTTTTTGGCCGATATCATATTTTTAAATAGCTGACACTGTCAGGTTTTATAAGGTCACAATACACCTCAATGTTCCAATCTTATTTTATTAGGAAACATTGAACAATACACTTGAAACAACAAAAACTTGTTTAGTGCTCACAGCAGAGCAGACGAGGACAGTGGCTGATTTTCAGACCWTTGTGAAGGTAGCGAAGCTGATATTTTCCACCAATCTTATCTACTGTATTTATTAAAGTATAATACGTAAAATTAAACCCATAAAACCATCCATAAAGTTGGTGGGTAGTACTATACTCAAATATTTTTACTTACTGTATGCATTTTAACTGAAAAAATCGGCTTCATTCACAAAATGCGTGAGTCCTTAAACGAGACCGCGTCATAAAAAGCAGTTGAAACGAGCTTACCTGACACTCCTCTGTTCTTCAGAGCGAGATAATAACAGATCCAAGCAGGGGACATGATGTGGAAAAAAAAGCAGTCCTGCACCTTAGTAATGATAGCAAACTAATGACATTAGCGTGTGACCGGGCCGCCTCTCGAACAACAACACATATTCATCTGTAATGGCTGCCGTCTACCAGTGTTCTGAAAAAGTTGTGTATCCCTGAAAAAAAGTTTCCCCACCAGAGGGGGCGCTCGCGAGTAGGAAGTAATCTGCTTTTCCCCCACAAGATGGCCCAAATCTCATGTGAAGTCTCTGACTTTTGTGTTGGCGCATCCTAGTGGACWATGTGTAAAATGCCAGAATTCATATGATGCTGCTACAGCTGATATACGTATATTCGTTGTCAAAATACCTTTTAGTACATACAGTATGTTGATAAAATAAAATGAACAGTCCAATGATCATTTTACTGAAATGTATAAAGACTGCAAAGGCTGAAAAATCTTGGTCTGTATGAAATTGGAGGTAGTTTGAGGATTCAATTTTTTATGCTTTTTAAGCTCAAAAAAAGTGCGGGTCGTATTATACACAAATAAATACGGTAAGTATCAGCTGTTCTCCGATCTCCCAAAATTAATGAAATTGGTGCACCTCTATRCTGATTAATGTTTGGAGTTAAACCAATTCAGGATGTCTGTTTCAGCTGAACTACCTGAGCATAAATCAGTAGAATTTACAAATACTGAGCTATAATTTGATGTGAAGGTAACTGACAGTCATTCATGAAACATTGTTCTGGCACTAACAGTTCTTACACAGCATATTTTCCAAAATCAAATTAAATTTAGCTTAATGATCTTAGTCTAAAACACTAGCATTATGAAGGCCTTCATTATTGTGTATAATCTGTTTTAGGCTTTTTTGATTTATCTATTTTCCCACATTTTCTTAGTTTTACTTTTGTAGGATTGTTTGGCTTATGAGGTGAAACAGGGCAGATATCTTGTTACTGCTCAAGGCCCTGTCACACTGACATTTTACACAACTTATGCCAACTTAGGAAAGTTTGGAGACAAATATGCTGAAGATGGAATTAAAAAATCAACTGGAAGCTTCTCCCAGGCATGTACTGTAATGCTAAGAAATGGATCAAACTTTTATTAGTCATTTAGTGGAAAAAAACACATTTCATAAGTTGGCATAAGTTGTTTAAAACATCATAGTGTGACAGGACCTTCTGTTAGAGTAGTTTGATACTGATCAACAAAAAGGAATAATGAACAAGAAATAAAAACATTGCCCTACTTTGGAGACAACCTTAGATTTACTGACCATAGTGTTTCTTGTGCTGACTAGAGAAGGCAGCAGTGTCTAAATAGTGTGTTGACTTTGCATTAATTCTTCAAGTTCAGTTGTTGAAGTTTGTTTGGGCAAGGCACTGGAAATCAAATTGCCTCAACCTGTAAGTTGCTTTGAGTGAAAGCTTCTTCTAAATAAATGCAGCGCCCTGGTTTTGTTTGTTGAGTCACTCTCACACTCACGGCTTGCTGAGGCATTTGAATATTATGGAGCCATAATTTGTTTTCACACATGCACGGCAGTTCTGAAATTTCTCACCGACGTTCAGGAGAGGCGGCATGTGAAAACGCAAATGTCTGCAATAAGTCAGCTTCAGATTAACTGCGGAGATGTTCTATCAGCTTCTTGGTGACATCTCTGAGAGGCTGGTGAGCGAGAAAGTTTCTGCACACCTTTTTTTCTGCAGGTGAGGATGTGTTTTGATAGGAGTTAATACTTCAGACTTTTTCAGCTGATTTATATATTATTTACTCTTTCCTCAATAATGTGAATATGTTGAAGTACTTGTAATAATTTAAACTAGACAAAAGCCCATCATCACGCCTCATCTGTCATTTTTCATATTKAAACTACAAACACTAGTCAGGAATATATTGTTTTTTATTTTTGATGTCTTAGCTATTTTGCACKCTAGAGAAACCCTCCTTTGCATTTAATATACACAAGAGTGTTTTTACTGAACATCATTTCACAGCAAAGTGCAGCAACTTGTAAAAAGTCTGTTTAGATCTGTGCCGGTGGCATTCTTTAGGCACTTCACGATTCAATATGATTATAATTCAAATGGCTACCATGTGATATGAAGTGTTTTTTTAAATGATTATTGATGCTACATGCTTCCATGATCCATCATGAACATGCTTTTAAAAATATCCTAARCCCATAATCTCTGAACTAAAGGACACAAAAAAATTAGCTTTGCACGACATGATAATAYAGTCATTCCRATAAGATTAAGGGAATTAATTGATMAAAAAGAGTCAAAACGCTGACTAAATTGACAAGAATCTGTTAGTCAGTGGATGTTAATACTTTAATTTTCTTAGCCCTTCTTTCAGTCTCTCATCGTYTCTCATATGCTTTCCATCAAACCCTCCCACTTTAATTGTCTTTCTTCAAGAAGATGAATTGATCAGTAGTTTGACGTAATCCATATCCCCCCCAGCTGTTTTTAAGAGCACTAAGGGTCCATTTGTGGCAATCAATATATGACCCTACAAATATCATTTGGCACGTCTTCAGAGTACTTCAACCATATAGAGTTCTCTCCACCCACACTACCACCTTTGCCATTATGCTCCCAATTGAGCTATAGGCGCTTACATGACAGTGTACCTAATGTATATATAGATTGATGTCTCCTGAGTAGGGATGGTAGGTTTAAGGGTTCACACAGATCATAATAACACCACAGCATATTAAATCTTATTTATTTGCTTAGCTTTTTGCAGTGTTGACTTTCCTCTCATTTTCACTTTTCCCTCAAGTCCCATCAGCAGTGCAGGCAACACGGCGGTGTGTACAATTTATCAGTTTCTGTTAAATGATGATTTTATGCAGAGGGCAGATGAGATGTGAAGAAAGAGCCATTATCATCTGTTATCTACTCGCTCACACAAATCTACAAATCAGCCACTTATTGGCCATTTGGATGCATGAACACCAGTGTGTTCACAGATGGGATATGAAGGGAAGAGATAATGCATTAACTTCTCACACATCCCGCACATTGTCACCTCTCCAAAATCAGCATTCGGAGCATTTATTAGTAGATTAGTATGTGATTATTACATATGGACATGCATACACAAATGTATCTGGCTGTTAGAAATTATTCAAATATAATCATTATTGAAAAAAATATCCTTTTCTTTAGTTTATTCTTTTAAATGCTCTTTGATAGTCTTTCAAAAAGCAAAATGTTAAATACTTATATTTGTAATAAAAGGTTTGCAGTGTGGCGAATATGGTATCTACTCCAATAAACATGTTATTTAAATTCCAATATCCATATTAATATATTCAAAATATCCACATTTTGTAGCTGTTAAAGCTTATTTATTTTTAAATGAGCAGCTTTAAGAGAAAAAAGTCAAGGCTAGTTCTCATTGTTGTTTATTTGTTCTTGGTCCTTTTTTTAGGTTATTTTCTATGTTTATTCCAGTTACGCAGCAGCTAAATAAAATTTGTCAACCAAACAAAAATAAAAATATATTTTTTTAATTTTTGTTTTCATTGATGTTTGTTCAAAAACAGACATTTAACACACTGTAGTGATTAATGTAAGGGCCAGTAGTTTGCCAAATAAGTTTTAAATTAGACAAATTCTGCCGAATAGCAAATTATTTATATTAGCTTAAAAAAACAGACATTGATTGATGTGTATGCATTTAGGATTTATTTATGTAATTTTAGGACCTGGTAAGGACCAGATGATGCTTTTTTAAAAAACGTTTTTGTATGCAAAACCTTAAAATAAAGATGTACTTTTAATTATTCTTTAAGATTTTTGAGAATRTTTTTGTGTAACAAAATACTGAAAGTCCTTCGTCATGTATGTTCAGTATATTCACTTGAGCACGTTCTACAGATACACCCCTTCTGGTGAGGAGCAGCAGTGACTCGGCCCTCAGCCCTCCAGCAACTGAGACTGAAGCCTCTGGCAATGAAGACAGGATTGCCATGGTAAGAACAAAAAAAAGTTGTATATTTATAAAAATAAGAAAAGAAAAAGAWAAGAAACATCTATATCATGTCATTTATCAGTTGGTTTGATCTAATCAGTTTTTAAGTTGGGAACAAGATTCAGTCAGTCACAGTTAAATTCTCATGTAAGAATTTGCTGTAAGGATACCTTTTGGTGCAAATTCTTATTTATTTTTATTTTTTTATTAAGACACATTTGGTCACATTAGGCTACATTACCAAAGATAAATGACTTGTGAGTGTTTTCTTTAACTCTCCACAACTCTTTGACTTTTTCCTCAAAGGTCAAAGATCAMWGTTTTTCTGCTTCTTCCTCTWCTTTATTTCTGCTCCTGAGCTCGGTTTCACATCTGTTGCCTTTTTAACTCTAGTCAAGAAAAAGCTGTTACACCCTGTCTGACTCGTGTCCATTCATGTGCCAAAAAGGGAGCAGAACAAAAACAAGGTTTAAATTCATTTCACTTCCTTTATTTATACAGCACCAGCTCTAGATTTACTTGAGTAAARGGCATGAAAATCTGCATCCCTAAAACAACATTAAACCATCCTGAGCACCAGAACAGATTCAAACATTACGCTTATTCAAGTCTTTTTAAAACTGTTCGGCTTAAAGTCACTAGGCATCTCCATCATTAAAGTTTATTATCCACTTTTGTTTTTAAATGCTCTCTTATATATTCCTAATAAGTGTTAAATATCCTATTACAATTTATTTTTACAGTCTCAAAATATTTTCAGTACCCCAACGTTTTTCTAAGAAGAAAATGTTAGTAATTACAGCGGGTAAAATAAGTATTGAACACGTCAACATTTTTCTCAGTAAATATATTACTAGAGGTGCTAATGAC